TAAAATTGACAGTCATTCCATTATCGATTTGGGGTTTTTCCTCCTTGGTAGATCCCAAGCTTTAAAAAAAAACAACAACAAATCTTTAAAAAAAAGAAGTCAATTAATTACACACAGTTTGCATTAATCTCAGTCTTCCAACCTCCCACCCATCTGTCCTCCATACATTACACCCAACCTCTCTCTTTCTGACACACACACACACACACACACACACGGTTACTCACTCAGGGATAGAATCACCTCATTAACAGGGCGTGCAGATGCCTGGAAAACTTAGCCAAAGCCAATGGAATTCACTACTGCAGGAGGTCAGAGCATTAAATATGGTGGCATGGATTAGAATCAAAAGCAGAATGCACCGTTTTACTTGCTAAATTGGGGTAATCAAATATCACCTTTCAGGGCATTAGCTAATTGCAACAGGGGTCAAGAGGGAATTTCTCTCTCACACATACCCTTCCCCCTTCCCCCATATCCTAGCACAGCATTGAATAACTGGTCAGGTAACTATGTTTTTCACTTTTCCCTCCTCAACCATCACATAAATGCCACTGCCAATGGAAAAAATACGGAGTTTGGTCCTAGGGAGCATATACATATGTTCCCCTTTAGATGTGCAAATGTGTCAGCGACCAGAGTCTAAGGGTGTGTGTCATTTTACACAGCAGTGTCAATCATGCCCCCGCAGGCCCTAAAGTTATAGAAGCTGGCGCTCATGTTGGATTCACACACTCCTGTATTTGCAATCCGACAGCGTACTTGCTAGGTATTAGAATTTGCTAAGTCTGTCTCAGTTAAATCATGAATCCCCAGACAACGGCTCAGCTGTTTCTCCACTACTTTTGATGTTGATGGTGTAATTAAAACAAACAAAATTAAAAAAGTCAGCAGCTCAGATGCATGCAATAAGCGTTTGATTTGGGGGGCAGGGAGGCTGGAGGAGGTATCATGAAGATGTTTAACTAACTGCCCTATATCGTTAGAGGGGAAGGGAGTTGCTAGCAGGCTGAAAGGCTGGTGGAAGGCAGGCAGGCAGGCACAGGGAGTTTAGGGCAGTGATAAAACAATAATTTGTATTGCAGTAGCAGCTACAAGGTCCCAATTAGGGATCAGGGCACCATTGTGCCAGGCACGTAAACAAGCATAATACAAAAGATCTCCTTGTCCAGAGAGTGGACGGTCCAATGGACCCTGATTTCATTTCTCTTTGTTGTTTATTTCAAGGTCTCTTTCTGAAATTCTTGTTCAAGAAAAAGCAGCTTAATTCTTTTTCTTCCAGCGCAGGGGTGGGTCAGTGCTCCTCCTGGGGGCAAAGGAGGAGACAGACCGAGACAGGGCCCAAGCTGAGCAGCTGCCCACTTTCAGCACCAAGTACGTTAATGACTTCCGCTCGAGTCAGCATTCTCCTAAAATCCCACAGAGACAGCCAGACCACACGGCTCGGGAGCCTAACCGGGCAGGCCTGGCCAGGACGTTTTCCCCCGGTGGAAAAATCCTTGAGTTGTTTGGCCTGCGAGAGCTGCATTTTACAATTTGTTCTTTTCGAGGAAGACGCGAGAGCATCTTGGCCAGCCAATCCCCACGGGCTCACTTTGCCCACACAGAAAGGGAGCTTTGTGGAGCTGAAAAACTGCCCTGACCTGTTTTCCCCAAAGGACCGCCCCAGAAAACCAGATTGGATGAGCGGAGCCTACAAAGAGGAACCCTTTACTCATTGCACGTGTCCCTGATGCCCTGTTCTCTCCCACCCACACAGAGAATACAGAGGAGACCCCTGAACACCATCTAGACAACAATCTATGTCTTCAGACCTAGCAGAATCAGACCTCACCTGCCATGTGACCAAATCTGAGTTCTTTATTCATACACAGTTCAAAGACAGTTTGTGCTAACCTCAGGCCAGAGCCCCTGCTGGCATTCATCGACATAGCTGCACTCTGGAGTTATGCCAATTTACACCATCTGAGGAGCTGGCCCATGATCATCTCCTTTATCCTCTGTGCATTATTTTTAGATATATCTATCTTCCAGATGAAGTACAACAGGAAGACTTAAAGAATTGGATTAGTGCACAAGGAACCGCAGCATTTTTCCACTAGCAAGTCCACGAAGTCGAGAAGACCAGAGGAGTCTGAGGGATTTGGAGGCTTAAGGTGGGTTTTTTTTTTTTTTTTTTTTTTTTAAAGTGCTGGCTAATTGAAATGTGCCATTTTGGGGAGGGGTGTGGTTTAGCAAACCCTGAACTTTAATCAATATAAAGAATATCATAGTGAGCCTGAAGAACAAATGCTTTTTATTTAATCCTCCAACAGAGCCTTCAATATTGAAAGGTAAAGAACACAATCCTACAATGAGTCCTAATAAATATAGGGCTAGATTCTGGCTGGCTCTGCTCAGAGGAGTAGGGGACAGGAAGGATTAAAGGACTGGACTGGACTGAGACCCAGAAAACCTGGGTTGTATTCCTGCCTCTGCCACATACTGGCTGTGTGACCTTTGGGGGTCTCTCTGTGCCTCAGTTTCTGCATCCATAGAATGGGGATAGTACAAGGGACGCAGCGAGGATGAACTCACTGATCTTTGTGATGCCCCTGAAGGCCAATAAATACATAGGTAGCTCAATGCGGTTGGAATATAGCTACAAATAAGAGGAGGGACAGGAGGATAAGCCATAGGATGAAGTACACAAATGCAGATGGAGGCTACCCAAACCCAGATCCAAAAGCACAAGTCTCCCCAGTGCTCGCAAGCCAATGCTTTCCCCTCAGCCTCTCTCGCCCCTGCACTACTTGTCTTCCATGAATAACAAACCAAAATTACCAAGGATTCCAGCCCACACAGACGGAACAAATAATATTTCCCAAGACATTAAAAGCCCAGCTCATGTAAATGTTACACTTGCATTGTCTGCACATTTGTAAGAAGGTACTGAGGGGTGCTGTGGCCTGGTCTTTCGTCTCAGTGTTGTTGGGTGGCAGGTGTGAACATGAGAACGGCCATACTGGGTCAGACCAAAGGTCCATCTAGCCCAGTATCCTGTCTTCTGACAGCGGCCAATGCTAGGTGCCCCAGAGGGAATGAACAGAACAGGTAATCATCAAGTGATCCATCCCCTGTCGCCCATTCCCAGCTTCTGGCAAACAGAGGTTAGGGACAGCATCCCTGCCCATCCTGGCTAATAGCCATTGATGGACCTATCCTCCATGAACTTTTCTAGTTCTTTTTTGAACCCTATTAAAGTCTTGGCCTTCCCAACATCATCTGACAAGGAGTTCCACAGGTTAACTGTGCATTGTGTGGAAAAAATACTTCCTTTTATTTGTTTTAAATCTGTTGCCTATTAATTTCATTCGGTGACTCCTAGTTCTTGCGTTATGAGGAGGAGTAAATAACACTTCATTTACTTTCTCCACACCAGCCTGGATTTTATAGACCTCTATCATATCCCCCCTTAATAGTCTCTTTTCCAAGCTGAAAAGTCCCAGTCTTATTAATCTCTCCTCATATGGAAGCCGTTTCATACCCCTAATAATTTTTGTTGCCCTTCTCTGTACCTTTTCCAATTCCAATGCATCTTTTTTGAGATGGGGCGACCACATCTGCACGCAGCATTCAAGATGTGGGTGTACCATGGATTTATATAGAGGCAACATGATATTTTCTGTCTTATTATCTATCCTTTTCTTAATGGTTCCTAACATTCTGTCCGCTTTTTGAACTGCTGCTGCACGTTGAGTGGATGTTTTCAGAGAACTATCCACAATGACTCCAAGATCTCTTTCTTGAGTGGTAACAGCTAATTTAGACCCCCATCATTTTATATGTATAGTTGGGATTACGTTTTCCAATGTGCATTTATCAACACTGAATGTCATCTGCCATTTTGTTGCCTAGTCACCCAGTTTTGTGAGAGCCCTTTGTAACTCTTCATAGTCTTCCTGGAACTTAACTATCTTGAGTAGTTTTGTATCATCTGCAAATTTTGCCACCTCACTGTTTACCCCTTTTTCCAGATCATTTATGAATATGTTGAATAGGACTGGGCCCAGTACAGACCCCTGGGGGACACCACTATTTACCTCTCTCCATTCTGAAAACTGACCATTTATTCCTACCCTTTGTTTCCTATCTTTTAACCAGTTACCAATCCATGAGAGGACCTTCCTTGTTATCCCATGACAGCTTATGTTCTTATGGATACGGGTCTGGACTGGGAGTCAAGATACTTGGGTTCTACATTCCCTGACTTTGGACAAGTCACTTCACCTCTCTGTGTCCAGTTCCCCAATTGTAAAACAAGGATAATGATACTCATCTTCCCTTGAACAGAGCTCAGGGATCTAAGATCTAAGTATTATTACTCCAGGTGCGGCCTCCCCAGAGCCACATGGAGAACAACTCTCACACCTTTGCTTCCTGGTGCAATGCCTCTGTGTCTGCAGCCTAAAGTCCTACTAGCACCTTTTGGTACCACATACCATTGCATGCTCATGTCTAACTGGATGTCCACTATCACTCAGCGGTCTCTTCTTCATCTCTCCTCCCCAGTCTTAGCATGCTTTGAATTTAGACATGCAAAAATAAAAGCACACATGAGGGCTTCAGTTTCCACCCCAAGATGGCTACTGTTATCCCACAACCCTTAAGAGAGACCGTTTTCTTTCATGGAAAGCCATGCAGACCAAAGCCTAACTTACTTCAGACGAGCAGAGTCAGCACAGTGCTGGATATTCAGTTTAAGCCAGCACACAATGCTGGAGCGGTGCCGGTTTCAGCTCACTATTCCGTGACAAGGCTGCTTCAAACAAAAGTTGCTCCAAACTAAAGAACCAGGGTGATGGTTGAGTTTCGCCGCATTTTCAGTTCAGTTCTAAACTCACTCAGGGTGGGGGTTAGTTTAGAACTAACCCATAGCCCAGCAGGATGTTTTCATACCTATGCATACAGCCAAGGAGATTGAGGGGGCGGGGGGGGGAGAGAAGAGATCATTGGCATACCTGCCACTTCCACAATATCTCCAGGAACAATATCTCGAGCCCGGATCCTCTGGACTCCGTTCCTGTCGGCACGGATCACTTTTCCCATTTCTGGCTCGTATTCCTTTAAGGCTTCGATAGCACTCTCCGCATTTCTCTCCTGTAAACACAGCGTGCAGCAGAGCTTCAGGCAGTTGTACCGTTTAGATGGTGGTGATGCATGGTGGTGGGGCGGGGGGGGGAGGGAGTAGTAGTTGATAATCAGCCCTTCCCCTATTCAGCTGCCTAGACAGAGGTATGAACTAGTTGTGTGAACAAGGGACTGGGAGCCAGGAACTCCTGAATTCTAATCTTGGCTTTGAAGTCGATTTGTCTTGTGGTATTGGGCAGGTCATTTAACCTTGCTATGCCTCATTGTCCCCATGGCTAAAGGGAAACATGTTTACCTACGTCAGACGGGGAGGGGTAGCGAATGGCTTCAAAGCAGTATATGAAGTACTACATTTTGTGATGAGTCTTGGATGTGCCAGAGGCAAAGGGGCATGGAACCATCTGAGAGGAACTGGTAGAGTTGTTAATGGTTAGAACAACGGAGTCTCAGGATTTCTGATTTCTAGACTGAACTCTGCTGTGGACTCACTCTGAGACCATAGGAAAAAGTCATTGAACCCAGTCTTGCCTCAGTTTCCCTATCTGTGACATAAGGGTTAATGCTTGCCTAGAGCACTACAGTCGTGGACCTTAGTGAGCGAGTGTTTGGAAAACGCTTTGAGGTTCTTGCATGGGAAGTGTTCTGAACATACAAAGGAGCATTAATATTTTGGAACTACGTCAAAATGGAACAACAGGATCTTGGGGGGAAAACACCTAGAACAAATGATCCGTCAGCCTAATCGTGTCTTGCTTTTAAGAACAGGGATTTTCTACCCAGACACATTTTGCCTTAACTTGCAGCACCACTGAGCACTGGATGCAGCAATTAGAATATCTCAAATAAGCTTGAAACTAAGTTAAACAGCAGCTTTAAAATATTAAGTAAAAAAAGACCTTAGTGTCCTCCACTTAATCAGAATGGATGCTATCTTGCAACATGTTCCAGGAAACAACAGGTAAATGAAAGCATCTGATAATGAATGCTACTTCAGTTGGGGGCGCATTAAGTAGTTTGCTTAAGGAAAATGCATTTGGCCACTTCCAAGAGATAAGTGGTGTTTAACCTAGTGGTAAATAAGTGTGACACCCCAAACTTCAAACTATACAACTTGCCAAATAAAGATTAAGGGATGACCAAATAAAGATTACATATCGTAAATGTCACTCTTGTTCTATTTTTATTCAGGATGGCATTTTATATCCTTGTAAAGTTCTCACGGATGATTTTTTTTTTTTTTAAAGTGAGCTCAACAGAGAGAATTCACCAGCACAGGGTCTATGCCCTACTCATTAGTTACCAACTTTGCCAATACCTGGCAACTGAACACACTGTTCTCAACACTGGGGCGTTTTGTTTGTTTTTTGGGGGACTTTCTCCCTTGTGCAGACCAGGCTCCAGCTGTGTCTGGCTCCTCATTTTCATTACTGTTTGGCATTTAAAAGCCTGCTTTCATCAACCTCAAGTCGGGTTCACATTTTCCTTACCAGAATTTCTCCCTTCATTCCCCCAATGCTCCACAGTCTTATTTTTATTTTTGACAGCCGCACAATACTTCCCTCACCACAGGCTTGTCTTCACTGCAGAATTAACTCGAGTTATAACTCAAGTATTACCCCTCACCTGAGTCCCCTTCATGTGAGTATGCTGGTGCTTTTGCCTCGAGTTGGCTGGCTCGAGAGGGGGTAAAGGCCACAGCTTGAGTGAAGACCACTGTGCAGCTTGAGTGTTATTTCACAGTGTAACCATTCTCACTTGGGTGTGGCTAGCTCAAAAGAGAGTAAATTGGATTGTAGGGAACTCGAGTTAACTCTGCAGTGCAAACCTAGCACATGGTTCCAGCTCATGAGCTTCCGTTTGTGTCATGCAGGTTGTACAGTTCCAGGCGCCTGGCCAATAGTTCCACTGCTCCCAAACAAACCTCAGTGCTTGTAGGAATTAAAGAAGGGAGACAAAAGCGGTTACGTACCTGCCACACCCCCACAACAGCATTGGCTAGGAGAATCAGCATGATGACAACTGGCTCTACAAATGCAGTAGTGATCTCTTCACCTTCTTCAAACCAGGCCAGGATCTGCAGGGTGGCAAGACACAGTGTAACTAGGAACCGCTAGCTGTTTAGGGCATCACTCAAACCACTGAAGTCCTTCCTTTGCCTTCCCTGGGCTTTGGATTAGGCCCTTCATCATGGGTGTGAATGCCATTAGTGTTAAACGCCTTGGTTCAGCAAGGTATCTGAGCATGTGCTTAAACTGAAAACACACATTGACTGCAGTGCAAGCAATCGTAAGGGGACCACTCAGGTGCTTAAAGTTAAGCTCCTGCCGAAGTAGCTTGCTGAATTGGATTAGTGTTTTACAGCCCTGAGGCACCCAGAGCTATGTATCAGATGACCAGGTGAGAAAAGCACAAGTGCTGCTGTGAAAAAAAATCCCTCATGCCCATATTTTCACTCCCTTGAGTTGCTTGTCAAAGCATTTGTATGCCAAGATCACAGCACTGCCACAACACCACTATAAAGCATTCAAATATCAGCTCGTTCAAAGGCATGTATGTATCAGCAGTTCCCACTCCCATGTTGATCTTTCGGGAGGGAGTCCATCTACAATTCCTCCTATTAGAAACCTGCCCCACCTAGAACTGCTGAAGGACAATTACAAGGCAAACTGGTTTTCTTGCCAGCAGTCCTGAGGTGCAAAGTCAGGCTTAAAACGCAGCTGCCCAGGATTTGCTCGCCTGTTGTGTGGCACGATAACATGTCATTTTCACGAGACAATTACCGGCTGATATAGAATGCCGTTATTAAAAAATGACAAAGCTGAGAAGGTGGGAGATGGTAGGAGATTTGTCAGATGGTTGCTTATTCAAGTGGACTGGAAACCAGTTTGTTAGCTCACCAGCTCATGAATGGCTCATGTTATGCTTCACTGACCTATGTTTGGGCTTGGAAGGAATCAATATTGTATGGGTTATTTTCAATGAATTCCATCAGATCTGTTTATTTTCCCCCTAGATTCTCTCTTTATCCACTTAAGGTTTTGCACTAGCAGAAAATAAGATAAAGGCACTAAAAGCTTCTTATTCAAAATGTTATGACGATGCAAGTCAGGATTCAGAAATAATAGCATCTCAAAGTTCTATTTTACATGAGATTTCTCACATGAGAAAGATAGCACTGACAACAACATGGGCTTGATCCAGAGCCCACTGAAGTTGATGGAAAGACTCCTTTTAACTTCAGCCTGAGCCAGGGTTGGGTAAGTCACCAAGTATTTACCAAGTACAACATAATAAATTTTTCTACATTTCCCTCTCTGTACTCTTGATTAGCAGCTATGGAGCTTTTCCCCCCTGGGGTTTTGAAGAGAGAAATCAAGGAACCTTGATATATACTGATTAAAATCTGTTCCTTCCACATCTATGCATAACCCGCCCTCCCTCCCCGTCTCAGCCAGTAAATAACTCTGGTGCATGATTCTGGGCTCTGCTATTATGTTCAAACCAGCAAACCAATTCACGAGATAGCTGGGGACGTAAGGCAACTGTCCACTAAGGAAAGTGGAGCTGTATATGTAGCATGGTCCCCATACTCATCGGAGCTGAGAATCTAGTAAAGGGAGTCAGGTGATTTCCATCAGAGACTGGGAGAGAAGGGTCCCTAATAGGCATGGCATTGAAATCAGTCAGAGGCCGTTTAGGAGTCAGAACACGAGTTCACAACTCGCTGTCCTTTCCTGCTTTGATGACCAAGATAATACATCCAGATGTGTAATCATTTGTGTTTAACTAAACAAATGCCTGAGAATCAAGCACCTTTGAGAGCAGAGGGACACTGAATTAGTGATTATACCTCAAGGAAGTAGCTGTGACATCCCTGTTATGTTTACAGAGTTCCCTTCCAGTTACATCAGCCTCTCTCTCTCTCTCTCTCACTCACTCACACACACACCCCCCTCATTGCCTTGATTTTACAAAAGCCTGGAGTTTAGCTGACTGAAGCAAGGAAGATGAGGGCCAAAGCTGAAAGTCCAACTAAAATCCCCAGCACTGTGTGCAGGTTTCACAGAAACTCTGTCATTCAGAATCCCAAACGTCAGGATTGGTTTTCAAGTACTGCACATGCAGATTACCAGCTGGATGTGGTCACTGGCATGTGCAATTGCTGCCACCACATAGGCAGTCACAGGTACAAATTAAGCATGCAAATGGACACGCACTTTTGTGCGTGCAATCTCTCTCAAAGTCAGGTCCTGAGACCCTATGACTGCTTTAGCTTTTCAGACATGCCACCTGGAGTCTTTACAGGAAAGTCCCTTATTCAGCAGCAAAACCAAATAAGTGCAACAGAGCATGATATAGTTGCCTAACCTGCACATCATTCTCTTAACACAGGCGTTTTCTGCATTCAAAGAAAGAACCACCATAAAAGAACAAACAAACACACACCAAAGTTAATCACAAGAGCAGGTTTTCTAAAGCTCAATCTAAACGTGGAGGCAAATCTGGCCTGACAACATGCCTTAAAGAGATAGCCACGTGTATTTTTCCACAGGCAAGAACATACTACCCAGAGAGCATCTAAAAGGTCTGTGATATTAGACATTTCTAGTGCAGCCAACACTGTAGTTTCTAGGCACCACTGAAAGTATGTGAAATTAGTGGCACAGTACAGTACCAGGCACCACTAATATGTTGAGAATCAGTGATATAGTTTCTAAGGCCATGTCTAACTGGCAATTGAACGACAAAACTTTTGTCTTTCAGAGGTGTTTAAACCCCCCCCCCCCCCCCAAAGACAAAAGTTTTGCCGCGACAAGTGTCAGTGTGAACAGCACCTTTGCCGACAACGCAAACGCCACTCATTGGGGTAGAAGTTTTTTGTCGGCAGGAGAGCCAACAAACAGCGGCTACATTGCGTGACTTTTAGTGCCACCGACACATCCATGTTGCTAAAAGCTGTGTAGTGTAGACATAGCCTAAGGGTACGTCTACACTTACATCCGGGTCCGGATGTAAGCAATCGATGTTCTGAGTTCGATTTATCGCATCTGGTTAAGACGCGATAAATCGATCCCGGATCGATCCCGGAAGTGCCCCGGATCGATCCCGGAAGTGCTCGCCGTCGACGCTGGTACTCCAGCTCGGCGAGTGGAGTACGCAGCATCGACGGGGGAGCCTTCCTGCCGCGTCTGGACCGCGGTAAGTTCGGACTAAGGTACTTCGAATTCAGCTACGTTATTAACGTAGCTGAATTTGCGTACCTTAGTCCGAAGTGGGGGGGTTAGTGTAGACCAGGCCTAAGTGTCATTGATAGCAAGTGAGTCAGCAAGAGTGCCAGCATTCAGATTACTGTGTTGTATAGACCAACTGCTATACTAATGTATGGACTTTGTGCTGATTCACTATATATTTGTTCAGAACAACAGATGTGGGAGAGGTCACTGGGAGGATGGTTACACATTAGTAAAGCTTCAGGATGTGTAAACTGCCAGGGCGAGTTTGCATACATGCCTCAGTTACAGAGTACACTTTGCATCTGGCAAGAGGAGTTGCAAATGAATCAACATTGCACCCCGGCAAATAAACACAGGCTTTTAAGCTTTCCATTGAAAAATTAAATACAGCGGGGGGGGGGGGGGGGGGGGGAAAGAAGAGTGGAGAGAGAAGAGACTCTTATTAAAGATGTGCCAGTCTTGCTGAGAAGAAAGGTGATAGGTAGAGCTAACAACCAACCAACTCTAAATCCTTCTCCCAAAACTCAAACCCAAACCAAATCCACCCAGCGCTCCCATTTTTCATTTCTGTGCCAAAATTGCCCACACAAGCTGTTATGGGGGTGTTTCCAAGCTGTCCAGGAAGTACTAGAAATCTCACCGAAAAACCTGTTGTCATAAGGCTGCCATCTCAATTTTGAACAAACAATATTTTGCACATTGACAGTGCCCTGCAGCACTTTACAATACCCTCACTGGAGGAGGGAAATTGCAGCAAAGAAGTGAAGCGACTTCCTAAGATCTCTCAGCAAGTCAGAGCAGAACCAGGAACAGAACCGAGGAGTTCTGACTTCTTGTGCCCTGATCGAACTGCTAAGCCATGGGATCTCCTAGCACGCCCAAACAAGTTTGGGTGAGGTCAGATAAGCCTGCCAAGCTTTCAGAGGATCACTTGTAGTGACAGCTGAAATCTCAACTTGAAAGGCACATGGCCCCACCATAGCTGTCATTAAAGAAAATCTGTCATGATCCACAGACATCGAGCTACATTGTGGGTGCCCAGAATCAGTCTAAAAATTCTTTTCTCTAGCAGCAAGACGCTTCCTCATCTCTAAGTTGGAGATGATCTACATACCCATCTTTCTAAAGTGATTTGGGATCTATGGATGAAGAAGTACTCCATAATAGCTAAGAATAACGAAAGCTATTCATACGTCCACTAGAATCTACACTTCCTCACTGAAATCCTCAAAAATACGCACCATATTAAGGTATAGAGCAATTAAATACTACATTTTGGTATTGGTGTCAAGTAAATTACATCCTAGATTTTGGGGAGGCACATTGTTTAGTGGACAAGACAGAAGAGAGAGAGAGAGACGACCTAGGTTTTAGTCCCAGCTCTGCGACAGGTCACTTCCCTCATCTGTGCCACAGTTTCTGCTCCCACCCTTTGATGTCTTGTCTATACAAGCTCTTCAGAACAGGGACTGTCTTACTATGCATTTGTGCCACAATGGGACCCCAATTGCAGTCAGGGCTTCTTGGCTGATATCAACATTTTCTGCAGTAGCGGTTTCAAGAGAAGACAAATGTATACATTCCAAATAGCATTAGACTCAGCCATGCCATTAAATCCCTTTCCTAATAGGACAAAATTCACAAACAGTGAGAAGGTGGAGTTTGCTTCAATATCTCAAACTCTCATTCACTCATGACTTTGGCATCAATAGGCTCTTTAAACAGAACAGGCTCGACTAAGCTAACAGCAGGTATAAGAGCAACTCCTACACACGATGGCATAATGCTGAAATTCCAACTCAAGAATCTAGCTGGAGAAAAATAATGTAAAACGCTGGATTTTGTAATTAAAAATGTAATGCCTCTGACTAGCAATAAAGTGGCTTTGAGACACCCAGACATTAAACTGTCAAGAGAGAGGCGTTATTTCAAAGCAAGAGGGTCCAAACTAACAGATTTTGTAAACAATTTCAGGACTCCTCCTTCCTTGATACAGACAAACGCATGGATTCGGTCCCTGCTGTTTAGATCAGAATGTTGATTAATATGTGGAATTTTAAAATAAGCTTCACTTATATAAGAAGTTCCCTGTCTCACCTCCAATAACCCACACAACCTTTGAACAGGCAGAGTTCCCACATCATCACACCAGTGGGTATTGTTTAAAAATAAGCCTCACCCTCTTTCTTGCACTCTGCCTGTGTACTTAACTACAGCCCTACCGCAGGATTGTACTTGCCAACATAAAAAAGGGCATTTTCTCAGCCACGCTTCACATCCCTCCCTCTAGATCTCTCTTCTTCAGAAAGCCACTCAAGCCTTTAATGTACCAGAGCTGGAGCTCCACAGGCCCTTCTGATCCAGCTAGTTGGGAGAAACAGCAGAATAGCTCTGCATCTCCCCACAGGGACCCAAAGTCCAGCACCCAGTCACTCTGTTCATCTCTTTCCACTATGCCCAAGGTGCATCCCTAACCGTCTTTTCTGTCTCTCTCCCCTACAGAGCTCCATAATACCTGGAATCCCTGTCCATTCCCCCCAGTCCTAAATCCTTTCACCCCCTCTTCCAATAGACAGCTCTTCAAGGAGAAACAGCCCACTTCCATCCCTTCATTCAACTTAAAAAGAGGTTCACACACAACATCATGAAAATGTCTGTTCACCAAAAATAATAATAATAAAAAAATGTTCTTTTAGGTATCCAAGTAAAGCTTCAGAGATTTCCCATACTACTACTTTCCTACCCTTCCAAAAATGCAGTCCACTCATCCTTATAGATTCCTGACGCTCTGGAATAGAAGAACGGAACAAGTCATTGAATCTTCTGCTATGCAGAAGATCAGATCAACCCTCCATTCTTTTTGTCCCATGTGCGCTTTTCCTGGCACTAAGGATGTCTTCACTGCAGAGTTAACTCTTGGCACGTGGATCACGGCACCCAGGCCAGCTTAGCCCAGATGTGAGCAGCCACACTATAACGCCACATTTAAGTTAGTGAGGCCACAGAGGCTCTGTACGTCCCCTATGTGTCACGAGGCCTTCTGGGGGTACATCCCTTGGTTCTTAGCACTTCAGTAAGCTGAGCTGCAATACGATTCTTTCCTAACGAATTGTGGGAGAACTTGTCTGTTCTTCTGGGCATACAGGGGGAATTGTGAGAAGGCACTGAAGGACCATCATCACTCGACTGGTTTAGCCTGTCTCCCCACTGGTTACCAGCCAGAGTGAAAAGCAGCATTCAGGCTTTGCCTATAGCCCAGGATAGCCAGCTAGACCAGGTTGAAAGCATCACCAAACTCAAGTCAGGAGTTTTTGTGTGGGGACAGAAGCTTGGTTAGGGACAGCCACCAAGTAAGAGCCCAGGTTAACTCTGCAGTGAAGACAGACTCTCCGTGGCTAATTGTACCCATTCTAGATAAAACGGTTTTCATGCAACTCACAAGGGAAGCTGAATTTAGTTTCTTACACATGCCTTGCAGTAGAACATCACCTACTAAGCAACACCTGGGCTCAATGGGAGATGCTAAATACAATCTTATGATCTTTTCATGCAGTAACTTAGAACTTTTAGCAAGAAACAAGGGGAAAATCTGTGTACGCGACAGGATTATAGGCGCTTTTTCTGTCTTAGCCTTGGAGTCTGCACACAAGGCTAATGGCCTGCAAAAGGAAGTTTTAATGGACAAGAGACCATTAAAAGATAACAATGAAGAGAAAAAAGTTGAGACTCAGTGGTTCAAAACTGAGATTGCCCAAATGACTTCAGTGGCAGGCTGCTCAGGCCCCAAATAGCAAAGCACTTAAGCACATACTTACAGTGACAATATGCTTAAATGCATTGCTAAATTGGAACTTTAGAGAATGCAGAACCTCTGCAGCTGTCACAAAAACTACCACATCTATTCATGTCATTTGTGTCTCTTTGCATATTAACCGATCTTTGGTTGCAACTTTGACTACTACTTTAAACACACATCCTATCCTCCTTTACTCTTGTTCAACACCTATTCAAAAACATGCTTTTACATTAATTCTACATTCATGTGGTTAAATAAATGTACTGATTTGCCTGCCATGCTCACTCATCAGAGCAGCTCATATTCTTGGATCTGTCAATATAAAGGGCTTGAACTTCCAGCGGGCGGGGGGAAGAGGCGAAGGTAGAGGGAGGATGGGACAAGCTTAACTTAAGTGCAGAGCAACTCAAAATAACTTTCTGCTGTGGCTCCTCCAGCACATGGATTTTAACACTTCTGTTAAAATTCCTACTGATTATAGCTCTTTTGTGCTGTATTCATGCTTTATAATGATATTTCCTGAACTGCATGCAGTTGAGATTGTCCACTCTTTGGGTAGGCACGGTATTTTATTTCGCTTGTACAGCATCTAGCACAATGCGATCTCAAATTCAACTGTGGCTGACTTGATCACAGTGTACAAATACCCACATGGGGAACAGAAATTTGGTAACAGAGGACTCTTCAATCTAGCAGACAAAAGTAGAACAAGATCCAATGTGTGCAAGTTGAAGCTAGATACATTCAAACTAAAAATAAGGCACAATTTTTTAACAGTGAAGATAAATTTCCACTGGAACAACTTACCAAAGGTTGTGGTGGATTCTCCATCACTGGACATCTTAAAATCAAGAGTGTGTGTTTTTCTAAAAGATATTCTTGAGTCCAACCACAGCTAACAGGATTTGAAGCAGGAATTATTTCAGGGAAGTTTATGCAGGAGGCCAGACCAGATGATCACAGTAGTCTGTTCTGGCCTTAAAATGAATGGCTCTATCAAGATGAAGTGCTTTATCCAAGATTAGACAGCAGGTCAGTGGTTGAGCTGGATATATAGCCCGGGTCTCCTGACTCCCAGTGCAGTGCCTTGTCCTCTAGACTGTACTGTCTCCCACTACACCACAGTACTTTGCTATTCTGCAGGAACTAGCTAGAGAGCCGCAAGTACAGTAGAAAGCGATACCACGTTAAGTGAATGCGCTCGCAGTCTTCTAACTGGGCAGTTATTGAACTAGTTTGGAAGGAACTTATTACAGCACACTGTGAAACATATGCAGCTAAACAGCTGTGCCTTTTAAGAAGTCTGACATGAATTTTCAGCATGAATTATCTGGATCAAAGGTTTAAATTTGCCAAATCATCATTAAACTCAATGGGACATCCTGGTAATGGCCAAGTTTCAAGGTACATAGCTGCTGTAGAGTTTCTAATTTCATGGATATTATTGGAATTGGCTCTGAACATATAACATGTGGCTCAGTTAGTGGCACTTATACCCCTGAGGTCCTTCTGCCCATCTCTAATAGAATTCAGTGTGAAATTTACAGAACCCAGGAAATTTTGGGATAACATGAATGGCTTGATCAATATTCCCTAATATCAAAGCTGGGTGCAAGCTATTGTCAGTTATCTGCACAGTCGCTGCACTGCTGGTATAACTGCTTTGTAAAGCACCTAGAGTCACTTAGCATCCCATATACCTGTTCTGATTAAAGTGCTATACTCTCTAGACATACCTTCTTTTGGGCTAAATTTTATCCCCTACGCTACGGTGGGTTTGGCACAGCAGACTTATATTGGGGGTAGGAATCCTCTGCCCCCTAGCTATCTGAGTCACATCTCTGCTGCTGCAGCTCTGAGGTTGCAGCAGATCTTGCTACTGCTGGTCCTTTGGTTCCAAAGAGAGTGCCTGACAGTCCTACCCCATACCTCCTTTCTGTGTACTTTTCACTCACCTGCACAGACTTCCCCCAAGTCCCGTTTCCTGATGCAGCATCAGTTCCACTACAGTCAGGACCTTTGCACGTGCATAGAGGGGCCATCAACCACTATCTTTGCTTTTAGAGCACAGACAGTGCTGCCTGGTATTTGTTTATTTGGGAGCATCACACACAGAGAGAGGAGACAAGGATACTTACAAATGACACAACAGCAGCCAAGAGAAGAATGCGCACCAGGAGATCTTCAAACTGCTCCAGCACCAGCTCCCAGAGGGACTTTCCTAGCAAAACAAAACATGGAAGCACCATAAGCGCTATGCAGATGCTGAAAATGAACTTGGGAGCGCTCAAGCTACTAAGCCTGCTTGGGTGCAAGGGGGCTGTGCTCTGCTTTGAGGTTGGACACGCTTAAGTTAGAATTACTGGCATTACTAACTGTGGGCTTGACTGAAGAAAGCATCCCTATTCAGGGCCACCCTTAAATATGCGCCTACGCCCCAGTGAAGTCAATGGGACTGAAACACATGCCTAATGTAAAGCATATGCTAAGTGCTGTCCTGAATCAGGACTCGGATCATTGCCAGCTCAGCTCCAAAGGTGAGCATGTGGCACCCATACTGATGCCTGACCGGATCATGCTACACTCCACCAGCATGAATTACAGCCCTTGCCAGGGACTGAGCGGAAGACAAATGGGGATGGAAGGACGCAGCCAAGAAACAAGGCAGTGTTTCCTGGTGGTGATCACAGATGGCTAGTAAACAGAATGGCCCTGTGCACAGGGATATCACTAAAAACTGATGCACCTGAAGTTTCCTTGGTTAAAAAAAAAAAAAAAAAAAAAGACACACACTTTGAAAAGCCCAAGGTTTTTCTTTCAGTGGAACTGAGGTCCCTGCCTGCCATTGCAGAGCAATGCATTGCTCTAACTTCTGGAGTAATATAACTCACCTTTCAAGGGACAGTATGAAGGATTTTCACAGCCAAAATTTGACCTATCATCAGACATGGATCCTCCTCCAAACTAAGTTTGTTTGCATGTTTTTTGTTTTGTTTTTAACTAAAGAGACTAACATTCAGCCCCCTTCCCTTCATTCATGTACTGTTGGAAACTGCACATGCTCGACTTACAGGATGTATAAATGCTGGTTAGTGCGGAAGACAACTATTCTTCTTACGCTTAAAAGGATCGCACCACCCTTGCTTCATAATCCCCAACAAATCAGTGTACAATAGATGCCTTTTTATCTGAGAGCCAACAGTCTAGCGGTCAGAGCAGGGAGATACAATCTAGATCCTCAAAGGTATTTTAGAGTCTAATTCCCATTGAAACCAATGAGAGTTAGGCACCTAAATACTTTTGAGGATCTGTACCTAAGTCAGCACTCCTGCATTCTATTTTTAAATGTCTTTGACTCACAATGTGACACATGGGGAGTCCCTTAAACCCCTTGGGGGCTCAATTTACTCACCTACACAATGGGTATAAGCTTATAATCTTTATGCAGTACTTTGGGAACCACAGGTGACAGGTGCTACCTAAGTGTAAAGTATTATTATTATAATAGTAGATATGCACTGGTCTAGTGTAGGATGCCTTGCAGGTCAGGATGCTCTATATGTGTAGGAGCTACTTTTTAACATTTCCATAGAATGATCTTTTACCATAATTTGCTGTACCAGAATCAAGAAGTTAAAAAAATCCTTTATGAGACAATTTTCAAGGTCAATTTTTCAGCTCAAGATTCTAGACAGCGTCACTCAAGAGTGTGAAGTGAGCTTGCTTTCCCCTCCTAAACCTCATACAGGTAAGTTTTGCCTTTATGTAACTGGGGTTGCTCTTAGGTCTCCAACTCTCTCCACTGCAAAATATTCCCATGGGCATTGAATCAGGTCCCTTGTGAGCTTCCCAGCAGTCTCCATGGGACTAGCTGACACTAAGCTCCCTCCCAGAATACCTAGAGACATGCTCCAAGAGCGAAGGGGAAGTCGAAAAAAGAAAGAGAGTCAATATAATTCCACCTACCTTCTTCAGCAGGGAGTTCTGCCGATTTCCACCAACATGCCAAGGAACAGACGCGGTAGGAGAGAGAAGAAAAAGAAGAGATATTATTGATCTGGAAACAGACACAAGAATTTAGCATTGGAAAGAAACTGGTTGAGTGGTTAGACTAGAAAGCTTTGTGAAAACCACATGTTCTCATGTATACACACACCTCAGGCCCCAAGAACTTTGGAAGGGGTGCAAAAAAGGCATCTATGTACCAAACACAACAAGAGACAGCCTAACAAATCTTAAGGAAGAGAGGTGAGATGTATGATGCCTCCAGGACACTGGTTGCATGGAGAACACTGTGCACTTTAGAGACCAAACTGGAATTCATTTCCTTTTCTACCCCATGATAATTCTTCCCAATAGTGTCCGTGTTTCTCCTTTGCTCTTCCTAACGTTCGTTGTAAAGAACAGAACACCAGTCTCCATTTCCCCATTACAGTGCAGCCAGGCGAAGGCAAAGGGGTCAGAGCAGAGGGTTGGAATTACTCAGAGGTTACTGGATTTCAATAAAATACACATCTTCTTTCAAACTTGACAACCCTGACAAGAGACTAAACTGCCTAGCGCTCACTTTGCTCATACAGTTCAACCTAAATTATCCAAAACTCCCTGTTATCCAAGGAAGAGTCACATTCCCTGACAGACTAGTAATTACACTAAATAGACCCTCATTCACCTGAAACCTTGATGGCCTGAAAGACATTTGGAAATCCAGCTTGTACTGAAAACAGTCCCACATCAGAAGAGTTGTCAGTTACAGTACCTCTCACAAGCATTATATTTTAACAGACTATATGGGTTAACAAACATTTCAGAGATTAACAAAGTACGTAGCTTGTCTGCCTTTGTCTGGAGGGGGAGGAAGGTCAACTGATCAGAAGGGAATTAATTTTATTTATTTATTTCTGTCACTTATACTTTCCTTCCCAGACTAGCTCTGTGTTTTTCCCTCCTTTGAGTACAAGAGAGAAGATAAAGGTGACATTTTTAAAAGAACTCAAGGTTGGCCTAACACTGCTCCAGTGGGAGTTTTACCATTGACTTCAATGGGAGCAGAATTAGGCCAACACTTTTCAAAATCCCATCTGTCAGAAAGGAGTCCCATTGCCAGCATCAAGGGCCCTTTGCCAGCTTCTGGTCATATATAAAACTCTGTCTGGGTTTTAGCATATCATTGGTGTATCTCACACATGCACACGGATTTTATTCTCAACACACCTGTGAGACAGAGAAGTATTATCATCACTTTACAGGAGGGGAACTGAGGCACTTTGAGACTATGTGACTTACCCAAGGTCACATAGTAAGTCTGTGGCAGATCCAGGGATTGAACCATATCTCCTGAGTCCTGGGCCAGTGCCTTGACTTCAAGACCATCCTTCCTCAACTTATTTTAGAACACTTGCAACCTCCTGAGAAATAAATACAAATGAGAATTCCATTCTCCCCACATGCACCTGGCTGGTTGACTGGCATCTGATTAAATCCCTGTAAGTCTCTCCAGTACACATGCCATGAATGAATCAGAACTAACCCATAAAGTAATTCCTTTTTAAAAACAGCTCTGAACACTTGCCACAGACTTCACCAGAATTTACTCCCCCTGAGGGACGGCTGCTGGCTATTTTTCCTTATATTTTTACAGCATATGCTTGGAAAATTCAGAGTAGATTGCTCCTCCCAGGAGACAACCTGCTGGAAGGAGGATCCCTGGAAGGTTCCCTTTGCAGAGGTTCTTCCTAATTCTTCTCCTAGGGAAAGATATTAGGCAGAAAGTCCATTGTTTGGAAGAGTTCTGATGCATCTGCTGGGGGGGAGTGGGAGGGGGGAAAGAGTTGTACCTACATGGGTGGAGCTGGCTCTTGAATTCTGGATATTGGTCCTATATATATTTAATGTACCCAGAGGATTGGATGATGCTCGAAATAAATACGATTCCTCTGGGTCTGAAATGCTGAGACTATTGGAAAAACAGTTCAAGTGTCCCTCTTTTAGATCAGCACCTATCTCTCCACCGATCTCAATAGTATTTTGATATGCCTGGAATATACAAACGCCAGTTGGTGCTAACAACCTCCACTTTTATTATTGATCATTTCTACTGCAGTAGCACCTGCAGGTCTCAAATCAGGGCCTCGTCATGCTAGCCATTGTACAAACAAGTAGTGCAAAGACAGTTCCAGAGAGTTCACAGCCTAGCATTTTGACAATATACAATAGGTGGATGAACAGACAAACAGAGCATGGAAGGGCAAGGTAACCATAAACACCAGTGAGTTTGCATAAGTCACTAATTATACTGGTCTCGGTATTCGCTATAGACTGCTCTCCAGTACCTTCCAACCATATATTTTGACTATTTTATTTGGTCATCAGCCCTTTCTCCCACCCCTCTTTTTACACTTAAACCCCACCTTGCAATAAGTAAGTTCCCTCAGGACTCAGACATAATTAATAGTCTAATGTTTCCACACTCAGATGGAATAATGGGGTAGGTATAGGGCTATGCAATATTATGTGTTGCAATTATGTACTCCCACCCACAACCCACAAGAAAATTATTTTGTTTATAGTCTATATATTTATATGCATGCACACACATTAGAGAATGAATCTTGGCATTATATATATATTATATATATATACAAACACACACACACACACACACACATGCATGCATGCACACGCCAAGGTTTTCACAAGTGGCCTGTGATTTTGCGTGCCTTACTTGAGCCATATGAAAAGGGCCCAGTTTTCAGAAATTTCTGAGCACCCACACTCTGGAAGTCAGGCACCTCCAAAACACCTCAAATCTGGCACCCAAAAACCCTAGTTACTTTTGGAAATCAGCGTCATAGAGATGATTTTCAATTCATACACGCACAGGCGCACACAGGCTTATAAATGCTGAGGTGACATCCAAGTGATACATTTATAACTCAGCTCTGCAATTTATTTATCACTCACGTTTGCCCACTTCATGTGCCAGTTCCCTCAGGGATTTACTCTAACAGAAAACCAGCTTTCCAATGGCACACAGAGCACTGACTTCTAGCTCTGGGAAGTCCAAAGACGACAAATTTTAAAGCCTTAACGTTTTTATTTCTCTCTGGCCATCAAGGGGTTACAATAACTTTCCCTGTTGCATTTCACACCTGGGGCCCGGGAGGAGCAAACACAACCTAAGGTTGACCCATGTTTAGATTTTTCTCTATATGCAGCAGACAGCCCTGTAAAGAAAAGGGGGATCTGGAAGAACAGTGGCTTCTGCTAGACTGTACCGGACTTCCCCGCAGTGCACTGTCAAGGTTTCTATGGGATTTTGCATCGTTTGACAGAGCTACGTAGAAGCCTGGCGGAGCCTACACAGCCTGCACTTGCCATAGTTCGCCACACTACAGCCAGCAGGACAAAGTACGTCTAGCTAATAATGATGAAGGCAGGGGAATACGGTCCAGATGGCAGATGGGCTCCCAAGGGAGGACAGAGGAAAACTGTGTGAGCTGGGGGCAGGGCAAGAGGCACATCCCAATTCTTCCACTTTCTCTAGACCCTGCCACTTGCTGTCAAAAGGCCGTAAGACTGAGCGCTCTAATTTAATTGCATACATACATTTCAGCCTGGGTTGGGAGCTGGGAAACCATCCTACACCAGGGTCCACATTATTAATGTTTCAGGCAGCTCCTGAAAGCAGAAAGGGATGCACCAAGGTGCAGAGGTCCAGAGGGTCACCACAGTACATATTTGGTCCACTAAAGCATAGTTAGTTTCAGCCCAGACAAGTATCAGTGCTTCCACTGTGGGGGAGGACGAAGATGCATTGAATTTTTCATGCAAATGGCTGGATCACGCTCTCTCAGCGGTAGCCAGGGCGTTCATTCTCTCACGCTCTGTCTCTTTTTAAAAAAAAAATATATATATATCATTAGCATTCAGTGAATGAATTCTCATTTCATAGCAAAGCACTGGTGACTCACAACTGCAGACACATTTCAGAGAGAAGAATCTTTTTTGAAAGGAATGAACAAAAACATCTCACACAAGCTTCGATTTCTCCTTCTGTGGAGGAAGCAAGTAGAACTGAGCAAGATAGGTAATATGACAAAGCTAGACACGCTCACGCACTGTCTAGCTAGGTATTTATACTACACTCACTGTGGTATACAAGTATTCAGTGCACTTGAGTTCTGAGTTCTCCCCATAAAACTTAACGGCAGAGGGGGCGTGGGGATAAACACTGCAAGATGAGAATTGAGAGGACAGAGGTAATGTCCAGATCAGAGAGGAGTCTGAAACACAAACACAAATCCAAACACCCTTGAACTTGAGAAAGCTCAGCTATAAACCTGAGGGTCAGACCCTTTTCTAACATAGAGTGAACAAAAACAACCAGCATTGAAAACGTTCACTAAAAAAACCCCAAACTGCAGTAACAGGTATTTTTGTACGGAGGAAGACTAGAATGTGCATACTGGAGTCGCAAGCTGATGGCTGTTTGAGAGCAGGGATGGGACTTTTCAGGGCTTGTCAAACTCTTCCAGCAAAGTCTTTCAGAGCAAACAAACCTTTCTGCATTTTCAAAAGTTGGTTTCTCAGTAGATTCATATCATAGGTTAAGCTGGGGGAGTGATGGCGGGGATTTGGCTCACTGACTTCCTCGGTTTGCATCAGTGTAACAAAGTAGAATTCAGCCTGTGGAATCCAGATTTCATAAGCCAGCAAAGAATGAATGTTATTTATCTATAGTATGGTAGTGCTTGGGCACTGCCATCAAGATTGGGACCCCATTGTGCTAGGCCCTGTACATACACATAGTAAACACAATCCCGGCCTTGAAGACTTTATAATCTAAATAGATAAGACAGACCAATAGTGAGAAGCGAAACAGACACACAGATAGAAGTGCCTTGCTGGCGGCTACAGCAGCTAAGTGACAATTGGGAATAGAAGCCAGATCTCTGGATTCCCATTCCAATGCCCTATCAACT